TGCTCCTGTTTCTCAGCACTCGGTGCCGAAAAGGTTCGCCAACATTGGTGTAGGGTTTCCTGCCTGAGCAGGGGGTTGGACTAGAAGACCTCCAAAGTCCCTTCCAATAACATTCTGTTATTCTGTTCTGTTATTCTTGTTATTATTAAAATACTATATTATTTATATTATATTATAATACAAATATAATAGTCTTTTCATTTCTAAGTGATGAGGTAATGCATAATGTTCACTCTTGGTTTAGTCCAAGTGAATGTAACATTTGCATTAGGTCTTCCTATGTGAGCAATACCAATCACTGCTAATTAGGGGGAAAATATGAATGACCCTCCCTATATATTCCCCATATATTCCCCATTCTGGAGACTGAATATAGAAAGTGTTCACACTTATGCAGGAAAGAATAATTTTAGCTTTACCACACCATTTTCTCTCATAATGAGCATTAGCGGCTGAGTCACTGCTTGAGATTTGGCTGAAGCTATTAGTCCCTTAAAAGGTTTATTGCTCCACAAAGACACAAATCAATAGGAAGATATTTCCTAACATAAAAAGACAACTGGATTCTGAAATAGCACTTTTCTTCCATCATTAACTCAGAAGCAAAATCTAATTCTATCAAAAAATATTTACAAAAATGTGTACCAATGGCACATTTGCAGGGCTCTCCATCTAATTCATTCAAAATTGGTAGACTTATAACAAAAGTCTGTTTAGGCAAGGAAATATCTCTGAAATAGTGGCCAAACAGGTCATGAACTGTTTAGTAGACTGATGGGATAAAAAGGTGAAAAAAATTCCAGCTGATGTAGAAATACCAGAAAAACAAAAATTGTGGACAGAGATGACAGCCAAACTGGAAATACAAATAATGTCACTGTATTTATCTGCCATCGGTCAGGCAGATAAATGCCCCCGGAGATTCGGAGGATCCTGGACCTTACACACCTTCCGCCGTGCCCTCAAGACTCTTCTGTTCCAACAAGCCGGGCTGGCATGATTCCAATTCTTCAACTTTGAATCATCATTTTTTAAGAATGGGATTTTTAATTAGTTATGGGCCATATTGTTTAATATATATTTTAAATTGCTTTTAAATTTTATATTTGTGTGTTCTTATTCTGGCTGTACACTGCCCGGAGTCCTTCGGGAGAAGGGCGGTATAAAAATTCAAATAAATAAATATATTGGGAGGTGAACTGGTGGGGAGGGACTTGTGTAGTCATATATCATATGGATGGAGGTAAACTTTAAGTATGTGATCATGAATGCAGCTAGAGAGGGGTGTGTGCCATTTTTAGCTTTGATGGCAGTGTAGCTGTCTCTGAAAGCCATCTACTGGGAAATTACTGGGCTTCCTTGGGCAGTTGGTTGACCACTAAGAACAGAGTCCTGGACTAGATTGACTAGAGATACAATACAACAAAACACCTATGTACTGGTCTGTGTTTATTATTTTATTTTGTTCTGTATCTTATACAGCTAATTCTCGACTTACAACCACATTTATGTGCCAAGTGAAAAATTTGTTAAGTGTGTTTTGCCCCATTTTACGACTTTTTGCCATATTTGTTAAGTGAATCACTGTAGTGATCAATGAGTAAAATGATTATTAAGTGAATCTGGTTTCCCCATTGACTTTGCTTGTTGCAAAAGGGGATTACATGACCCTGGGACACTGCAACCATTATAAATGTGAGTCAGTTGTCAAGCATCCAAATGTAAATCACATGACCATGGGGCTGCTGCAATGGTCGTGTGAAAAATGATGTCACTTTGCAGTGCCACTGTAACTTCAAATGGTCACTAAGCAAACTGTTGTAAATCGAGGACTACCCGTATAGCAGAAAAGGAAAATATCCTTTAGTTTCCCATTGTCTTAATGCATTGTCTTGTCTTGGTGGAGAGCAATCAGTGGCAAAGAGCTTTATTTTGCTATGACAGCATAGAAGTAGAAAACAGATGAGGAAAAAAATGATTGTTTCTCAGAATATTTTCAGGTAGTCTATTGGCCACTGTGAAAAACTGGATTTGTTTGGATGGAGGTAAAGAGATAAAAGATAAATGAAAGGGAAGAAATATAAGTTACAAATAGAAACAGGTACTTCTGAGGCTGTACTGTCCTATTTTTTCTATTGAAATTTCTATTGAAATAACATGTTCCTTTGCAGTCAGGGTGCATCTTAAAACTGAATCTGTTTTTTCCCCCCTCATCTCGTTTGCTGCATATTCATTCCCCATCATTATATAGGTGACATGGTGAAAGAGAGCGAGAGAGATTAAGAAAACTTCAGATTTTTAAAGACTATTCGTCCTTTTAGTTTCCAACATGTGACATTTAAATGATAAAATACAAAGTTGGTGGGTGGATAGATAGGACATGAATATTAATTACCCATGATATATTGCTTTATTTATTAATCAAATTTATATAGCCACTCATCTCACCCTAGGTCACTGGACAGCACAGAATAAATAAAAATCAAGAATATAAAAATAATAAATATAAATTGAAATACCATAATAATAAATATCCTGAAATATGGAAATTACAACCCATAGAAAGACATAAAATGGTCCCCTCAACAATGGAGTCATCTAGATAGATCTCTAGTTCTATGGCAGCCCCACAGCTGGTCACATCACCAGGTTTAAAGGGCCTTCAGAATATCAAAAGGAATGGAGGGTTTCAAATCTAACTTTTGGGGACGGAAAATATTCCACAAGGCAGGCACCATAACAAAGAAGGCACATCTTCTGGGACCAATTAAATGTAGATCCTTAGCTGAAGGTACCCACAGCATACTTCCTCTGCCAGATCAGATGGGGTGGGCTTATGTAAGCAGAGAAAGGCAGTCCCTCATGTTTCACATGGCAGAATTTTTTGATATTTTTCCATACCATAAGTTCATATGTGTTACGTTCACTATTGCTTTCTAAGAAAGATAATAAGCATCGACCAAAATCATAAAGTCATAGCTGTTTTCTGAAGGTTCATAGCTGAGGGTTAAGGTAGCATTTCTCATATTCAGCTAACATATGCCCAAAAATAAATACCAATTACTTTCTCCTAATGGCACCAGGTTCAGCAGAGTAGCTATTAAATTAAATCAAAGATCATAAATGAATGTATGCTTCAGCACGATTTCTAAACATATTCACAACAGCGAAGAAATTTGCACGTACAGGTAGCTACTTGCAGATTGAGATCCCAAAGAATGCCATAAAAATGTATATGGAAAGAGAATGATCTGCATGATATTCAAGGGAACCATCACCAAATTATATTTATTCCCTACCAATGCTGATAAAAACACTTATGTGCAGGCTTCTTTTCAAATGTTGTGTATTTGAAACTTAGAAACGAAAGAGATAATTAGGATTTTTTGTTCAGGTCTGAAACAACTCTCAGTGGGGCTAAAACTTGCAAATCAATCTCCCATGGTAGGAACAATAAGTTCCTTGTTCCTACCTTATTCGTATCTAACAGCTAGACTTTGAAGGAATGTAGATATTAAACTTTGCCACAAATTATTCAAGGTCTATAATACTAGCCAGAATATCATGTACAGCTATCATTCACAAACAAAACTCCAGAGTTTGGAACATTAGCATTAATTATTTCACTCCAAATCAAATTTGCAGCATCATGCAGAATAGTTCATATTAAGGTATTTATCTAAATATAAACTGGAACAGAATAAAAGAAAGGAACTGTTGAACTACAGTGCTAAAAGCTTCAACCCTTTATAAAACTTCTTGGAAACAAGAAGCTAAACTTAGGTTTCTCTTAGCTTCTTCAATTATCACATTAAAGCAGCATGCTGGCCAAAGTAATATAACTAATTTAATCATGAAAAAATAAGCTGATTTCTCATTTTTATCCCAAATTATCATTATATATTTTCTAATCATAATTCCTTTGCATTTAGCACTCTTCTTGCCAGACTTCATTCACCACCGTTTAATAAATCACCACAGTACTCCTGCGTTATCTTTATTATATAACAGTAGCAGTAGAAAAAGTTAAAGAATTAAGTTGCCATCCAGAACTGGAATAGTGTAGAGATAAAAATATCATAATTAACACCAGGTATTGTTGGTTTATTTCAGCAGCTATAAAAGTTAAAACTAGTCTGCATTTGAGACTAGTAAATGAAGCAAATGAGAAGTAAATGAAGATACTATCTAAAAAGCAAATAAACTTTTGAATTCTCAGAGAGTGTTGCAAGAAAAGCAGTGAAGGGCTTATTTATATATTCTATAATACCGAAAATTTTGTTCAAATAAATTGTACTATCTTCTATCATGTTCTTATTTAACCTTGAAGTAAGGTTAAGCACTTTAAAAATCATATCAATTATTTTCTATTACAAAATAAAACCTCCAAAATTTAATATGTAGTTCACTCAAGTAGCTTGGAATGCATATAATCTACAATGCATTGGGGGGGAGGGGGGAGTTTTGTATGTTTTTTTTATGTTTGGTTACCTCCAGGAAAAGATGCCCCATATTTGCAGCATATGAAATATAAAATGCAGTATGTACCAGATATCAAAAATATTATTCCATCTATCAAATATTGCAATCCATGCAAGATTGAAACCATCTTTCCACGCTTTCAATCCACCAGCATATTTTGTGTGGAGGGGAGAGGGAGAGAAAACAGGAAGTAAAGGTTTTAAACCAACAGTTCCTTTATAAAAGTTCAGCTTTTTATCTCTCGTGCTTATTTCAGACAAGAAGAAAAGATTTGCAGGTTACAAAGAATTCTGAAAAAATGATTCTAAACTGCAAAGTATCAACTGCAATGTTGCAGTTTTTAGACAAAATTAGACTTGTTTGGTAGAAAATGTCCAAAAGACTCAGCAGTCGCTTCTTTACAAACATACTATTTATAATGAATACATTGATACAGAATGAATTATAAAGAAAAGCAAGTCAATATTTTATAGACGTAACGATCAACATTACAATAATTCAGAAAGTACATTTGTGTCGGCTGTTTTAACACGCTTTTATTATCAATTCACAAATTATTGTGGACTCATAGAATCAGGCAGAATTATGTATTATTCTGCTTAAGACTGCAACACTGAAATAATAAACAGAATTTTCAGATCTTTACTGAATAAAAAAAGCCATCAGATTTTTCTTGCAGATATTATCATTGTCAATTGTCCTACATGTGCCTTTTAATGTTGGTATATTGTGCAAATTACTGCCAAGTGTATACCTAATTAAAAGCAAGTTCTGACATGCTGATTAAAGATACAAAGTTAGTGCAATATTGGCTTTATAAATTTCTTTTGCATTCAGAATTTTGAATAATCAGAAAAAAGTCCCATGTCCCCTGTCCCCCGATATGTGAAGAATATAAAACCATTCCAAGATTCAGTTTCAAAAATTGCCCAAGTGAAACATTCCATTTTAAATTTTGCTTGTCTTGATTGCAAGTAGATCTCTCTTCTTAGAAATGTCTGGCAAACTATTTTAGGGTGCAAAATTCTCTTCCAAACCCAGTTTTTCTGCTGATGGCTGTCCTCCAAAATTAGGGGAGAGTGATCCATTACCTTGAAGATCTCACCTCATAGTCAAAATGCTCTGAGATTGAGATGCATTCCAGAAGAGCAATGGGAGTTCCGGTAGAGATTGGCCACAGCATTGGAGAAAATCCTGTTTTTCCAACAAAAATTCATTCATAATCATACAGTATCAGATTTGCAAAGATACATTTTAAGAACTTCAAATTATTAACCAGATGTTTAAATAGCCATCAAGGAAGTTTAGGAAAACCTTTTAAGACAATGACACTGTTTAATTCTTTTTCTTTAACTTGTTCCTGAATGTAGCCTGTTAGTTTCTATTAAAATTCTAAGTATGATCTACAACAAAGACATATAAACTCATTTTGAAAAGACAAATAGTTCCAATTAGTATTTCTATTTTCTAATTTATTCCTAGGTAGTAGGACTGAATTTTATATTTCTCAAAGTATCATGAAGAAAATGTTTAATTGTAATAGGCTACTGCAATAGTGCAAGTGAAATTGACTTTCTGTTCTATTTGCTATTAAAATCCTATTAGCTACTATAGCACCCCAACTTAAGACTCACCCAACAAAGTACTGTATATGATATTGACAACTATGCAATTACATGCAATTAGGGGAGACTTCTTTTTGTTCCATAGGTATGAAAAGGTGTGGAACCTTTTTTTAATCTAAGAGCTGTACTTGACCTTTGAACAACATGTGGAAGACATTACTCCAAAATTGAAGCCAAAACAAAACTTAGATTTAATAATTTAAATATTTTTGATATGATCATTTCCCATATATTTAATAACCTCCTTCTGCAATATTAAAATTTGACAGCAACTGTTGAAACAGGGCTGAGGCTTTTTCCAGATATATTAAGAAATTTACTTAGACATTCTGAATAAAGGTATGGCTGAATTCATAAATATTAAGCCATAATTTATTTGGATTAGGGGTTGTTGAGCAGAGACAAAACACAGTCTCTATTTTATGAGTCCAGTTGGTTTCTTTTTGCCAACTTCTTTCCAATAACTGGAAAAATGGGTAAACCACAAAAACAAAGGCAAGCCATAGGAGGTGTGAGCTTTAAACTCAAGTTCAATTTCGAACTGTATTTTGTGGAAAAAGACAGTTACTGTTTCTTAATTGAGATAGATTTACTAAACCAAAAATTAAATCCAGATATAAAGCTTATTATTATATACAAAGCTTATTAAACAAGTTGAACAAATCTTCATTATTGGAAGATATGTATTGTCTGCTATCAGAAACTATCAGAGGCTTGGTTGGATACATCCTAATGTTTTACCAAAAGGTGGATGAGTATTATTACAAAATCTACAGGTAGTCCCTGCTTAATGACTATTCATTTAATGACTGTTCAGAGTTACAAGGGAAAAAGGGATTGATGACTAGTTGTCACACTTATGACCATTGCAGAATCTCTGAGTTATATGATCATGATTCAGGTGCTTAGCAACTGTCACACATACACCACAATCACAGCATCCTGCAATCATGTGATCACCATTTGTGAGCCTCCTATCTGGTTTATGACAACCAAAATCAATGGGATAGCTGGATGGAGTTCTAAGTTATGGCCATATCATGTCTTGCTTAATGAATACAGGTAATTTGCTTAACAACTGCAGCAAAAAGATCAGAAAATTGGGTGCAGTCGTGTGATGCTTCAATTAACAACCGCACTGCTTAACAATACATTTTCAAGTCCCTATTGTGGTTGTAAATTGAGGAGTACCTATATAGTAAACGGGAAAGTAAAATTCTCTACAGATATAGCCTTAAATGTTTCAGTAAAAATCAAATAATAATAGAACTTCCGTTCAAATTTGATGGCACCAATACAAGAACCTACTTTTCAGGAATCACAAATTCAAGTTTCTAAGCAGGAATTGGGAGTATTATGATTTCTGTTCCAACCATCAGAATATATTTCACAATATAATCTAATATATGATTTATATTAATAAATCATACTATGCTGAAGCAGGTTTCACTGCTTTTTTAAGATGTTTTCAGTCTCTTTTTTTTAAAAAAAATCAGTGAATAAGTAAAAAGAATTTCTAACATGCAAGTGATTTTTTAAAGAAAAATAGTCAAGTAATCATTTCAACATGAACAATTACATCAATATATTTACAGATTAAACTATACATTTAATCTGCCACAATTCCACTAAGTGATAGGTGAATCCTGCCTACTATGAGTGTACTATCCTACTTTTAACTCTGTAGAAATTTACTGAAATATTTTCAATCTTTCCTAGAACAATTTTAACACATGGCTAAACTCTGACTTTAAGAAGAAAAAGAAACAATTCATTGGAAGAAGATTATTTCCACCTAAAATAAAAGTGCGTGTGGACAACATATTAAATATACACATACTAAATAAAATGGAACAAGTTTACAGCTTCAGCAAAAAGTAGATTTTAATCTTTTAACCACCACTATAAGCATCTTTGTATTTTAACACTTCAGTATTCAGACAGATTGCTTGTAGTCAGCTGCAACTATACATCATTATCAACAAGTATCTAGGTTAATTAGATATTCATATATTTACTTTAAAGTAAGTGGTGGAAAATCGATGGTATGAATTCTGCTATACTGGTTAATAGAACTGATGAGATTGGATTCCTTTCTCCACATTAGTTTCCTGTTGACCTATGGTCTGAGTTTCTCCACGGAGTTTCCCAATATCTGAGAGACAAAGAGGGACACTCTTACGAAAGACACTGTTATCAATTATCTTTTTTTTTTTAAGCAAACAATTCCAAAGGCTGGTCAAATTCAGCAATTCCCTTGATGAGATCCTTTTAAGCCTGCTTCTATCTGTCCAATTAGATGTGTGTTCAGTCTGGTTCCAACCCAATAATATTTTGCAAATCCACTGACATCTAAAATAGCCCTTTAAGGGTTTATATCTGTACCTGCCTTTCTTAAAGGATTACTTCCTTGCCAGAGATAAAATTAATGAATGCTAAAATTCATGTCACAGATGAAGGCAGTAAGTTATGCTGACTCAATCTGAAGAAACATCCACAACCACTAAAATCAATGGCTCTTACAAAACAATCTTGAGAAATATTTACTCAGAGCTTATTAGTGTTTATGAATGAAACCTTCAGTGAATTGTGTTGATTTCAACAGGATAAGTAAGTATATCTAATGATCTCTGGATTGTGCCTATCAAATAGACATTAATATCAAAATTAAAAATACAATTTTTTTTCCATAGATGAAAAAATTATCTTGACATCTATGATATATAATTTAAAGAACACCCTCTTTTTAATTCTAGTATCCCTTAAGCAAACCCATCATAATCAATTGACACTGAAACAAATTTATCTCAAATGTAATTGCTATGTGAGCATCCAATTCGAAATGGCAGTAGCAATCAAGTGCAGGAACAAAAATCACTGCAGCATCATTAGCCCTTTGTACAGCCCTGAAAAAGACAATAAACCGCATGTTTTCTATTCAATCACTTAATGGTTTTCTATTGAGCAATCACATTCTAAATACAAATGAAAAAATGTCCTTTTTTTTCCAAACAGACCAGTCTTTAATACTGAGATTGATAGGATGAGGTTAAAAGAATAAATCATGGTACTGAACTGATTATTTTGAAGCAAGTGTCCCATCTTTACAGGGAAAAGTGCATTTAGTTCAGCAGCAAAACAGCACAGCATGAAGATATTGTGCTTTGACGCAGACACTCCATAATAATGGGAGGATGTACAAGGCAAGGCAAGATATAAAACCAGAGTTAACATTGTCAACCGACCATAAATTTTACGTATACTGCAGGGTTTCAAAAAAGACACATTCATTAATTGCACAAAGACCAGGAAAAACCCTTACAATTATCTGTTTCATTTCAGGTCCATCATTGACGCAATACTAAATCTTAACAGAACATGATACTTTTCTACAAATTTGTCACTTCTTTAAGTGAAAAATGTTGCTTATGCTAAATGAGGCAACTATAAAATAATTGCTTCTTCAGTATGATATGCTTATAACTGATGAATTCAAAGGAACTCAAGCTTCTGTTGGACTTATTTTTTTTCACTAACTAGTTGTTTATATTTTTGAAATAATACGAATCAGTCAATAAAAAGCCCTCAGCAGAATAATACAACTTCTAGATTCAATAAAACAGAGTAAATCCCACCCCACCCCCAATCCAGTGACATACCCTGACTGTAAACATACAAGACCATTTGTTTAAAACTTAAAATAAGTTAAAGGACTTTCCAGAATAAAGGAAAATACAAATAATTCCAATATTTTTTTTGTCACAAAATGTGATCTACAAGGAATGACAAAATAATTTGTGTGACTAAATTGCTTTTTATCCAACAGGAAAAGGCTTGATTTAAAAATATTTTCCCTTAAATTGATCAGCAGTTAATTAACATTGTTTTCAGTGAACTGGTACCCCAAATTATCCAGATAACCATCAAATTCACTAAAGAAAACTTTAACAAGCATTTATAATGGGAAAAAAATCTAAATGGCTATGTTTCCTTTATGAGCAGGAATACATACGTGTGGTCTGAAATTTGCCTGTTTTATATTATTTATGTTTTATAATATAATATACAATCTATATATTATATTATATATACACACATACACAATACTAACAGTGCAGTTTGCATTTAGTAGAGTGTATGGGACAATCCATCTTTTATCCACACTGGGCATCATGTAGCCTAGATACTATATACATAATGACACCACAAAAGCCATTTATATTTTGTACATCATCGGGGAAGATATCAGTCAGACCATGGCTCGATATGGTCCTTGCATTTTGAGAAACTGGATGATAAAGGAAGGTCCACCTGCAACAATCTGAGCTGGAAGGGTACTGAGCGGACAGTTCTCAATGCTCATTATAGATAGTTTGCTGCAAAGAGCCAGTTCAAAAGGAAGGCTGTTTAGATGTGGGTTGTCATTTAGATACAGTTCTTCCAGATTCTCCAGTGTACCTGCAAAATAATGAGCATTTTTGAAACCAAATATATTAGTCATAAAATAACAATAAGTGATATAGAAATTACTACTGGCTAACTTGTTCTTCTGTCCGTTACCTAGAATAGCAAACATATCATCCTTTGCATCTAAACAGGTTCACTGAATTCAAAGCACATTTCTAAGTTTGCAGTAACAGCAGTTTTTAGTGCTGGCATGAAAATAAAAATTAATATGAATTTAGAAGGGATAAAGCCAATGGCGTGCTAGAACTGGCTTACACTGGCTCATGAGAGCAGATTGTTAAATTTTGGGGAATTTGCAAAACTTGACAGCAGACGTGACCTATAACATCTAGTGTGCCAATCAGTTGTTTCACAGTTAGTGGCACAGCACAACAATACCAATGAACATGGCAAAGTTGGTTTTTAAACATTTACCAGCATACTACTGGATAAAAACCCTTATTACATTTCTTCAACAACCTAAGCCTGCTTTCAGCTAGAAAAGTATCTTTCCTTACTGACATCCCAACTCCAAAACCTTATTTTAAGAGACCACATTAACACAAATGACAAAAATTTTCAAACAGACTTGCAAATTCTAACTTATATTTTCAAAACATTGTAATGAATCAAAATCATGTGTGTGTTTGAGAAACTTGAGTATATTATGCTGTGCTAAATGTCAGAACTGATATTAAATAGATCTTAAATATCATGATTATTTCCCATGCTGTGTGGGAATCTCAAATTTTTTTCAAGGACTGTGTTAATTGATAATACATAATGAGGATAAGAGGTTGGGCAATATTGATGGGGGTTTTTTCCTGAAGACTACAACAAATTATGCAAGTTAGAAGCAAAACTAGTCATATGCAAAGTGAAAAAAACAGCTTGGCAGGCATGGTAGAATTTTAAAATACTACCTTTGTGGTTCTTACATTGATCTTATGAGCGGAAAATATCTTAAATATAACAAATACTGCCAGATGCTGACTTACCTTGAATATCTCATATCTCAGCAATATTTCCCAACCTCAGCAACTGTGGATTTCAACTCAGGATTCCCTAACCATCACCCAGTGTTGACTGGGGAATTCTGACAGTTGAAGTCCACAAAGCTTAAAGTTGCTGAGGTTGAGAAACACCATATCAGAAATACCTTATCAATACCAGCCCATGAATTTATGGATCATATCTTACCAATTTCCTCAGGAAGTTGTGTAAGGAAGTTTTCTCCCAGCCCAAGATGTGTCAGATTGATAAGGTGACCAATTCCTCTAGGAAGAGTGCTCAATTGATTATTTGTTAGGATCAGTCTCTGTTTAAGGAATATATAATGTAATCATAAAATTAATATTTTCCACTAAAGAATTAACAAAAGCAGGTATCTTTTTATCATTAGAACAACAGCCTTTTTCTCCAACTGTCAACAAATAATGGCTAGATTTGGGGCTGCATTACTCCAAAATATTATTGAATATGACATACGAACCAGAACTGTCAAATGTTCTGTAAAATAATCTTTCTCATTTTTTATTTATTACTTTATTTATTACTCAGTATAAATTTTCACTTTTTCAACTCTAGGGCACTCAAAGCTGCTAAGTTTACAAAAGCACTAAACATGAAAGTAACAAAAATTAGAAAACCTGCTAAAAGTTCTGATTGAAGAGAAGGGCTTTACCTTCTTTCTTAAGGCTGAAAAGGCTGGGATTACATTTTATGCAATTCAAATTTTAAAATTATTTTTTACATGTATACAGTAAATTCTATAGCTAGGGAGCAATTGAGCATCTTTCTTAATTTCTCTTCCTTATGTGTCAGTAGGGATTCCCACATAACACAACAGAGTGCTCAGCATCCAAATGGCAACTAATTTATACATGGCAGTTTTAAAAAAAATGACATGAAATCCAGTATGGTATAGTGGCCGAAGACACCAGGCTAAAAAAAATTGACAATCAATCAATCAATCAATCAATAAAAAAGGCAGGAAGACATTAATAAAAGGTAAAGGTAAAGGTTTCCCTCGCACATATGTGCTAGTCGTTCCCAGCTCTAGGGGGCAGTGTTCATCTCTGTTTCAAAGACAAAGAGCCAGCGCTGCCCAAAGATGTCTCCGTGGTCATATGGCTAGCGTGACTAAATACCAAAGGCGCATGGAACGCTATTACCTTCCCACCAAAGGTGGTCCCTATTTTTTTACTTGAATTTTTACGTGTTTTTAAACTGCTAGGTTGGCAAAAGCTGGGACAAGTAACGGGAGCTCACCCCATTACATGGCACTAGGGATTCGAACTGCTGAACTACCGACATTTTGATCAACAAGGTCAGCGTTTTAGCCACTGACCCACCACATCCCTTAAGGTATTTATATACACTTTGAATTGGACAAAACATACTATACCATGTAATTATTTTACCTGTAGATCCCTAAGGTATGCTATTTCATTTGGCAACAATTCCAGCTTATTTTCCTCTAGATCCAATTCTCTCAGTTTCCTCAAATTTCCAATGCCATGTGGGAGGTTTCTTAGGAGATTATTTGACAAAACAAGAACCTAAAATAAAATTAACAGAACATTGAATGAACTGGCAGCTATACATTAAGTAATGGCAGAATTAGCTACATATTTTTAAAAAATAAAGAGAGCTAGAGACTGTTCACTATTAAACTTTAATGCCATATTGGCTCCAGAAAATATGACTTGTGAAATAAATAAATATTCTTTATTGGGCAAGAATGAAGAAAACATTTTTATGGAAACTATAAGAGTTTCCTATAAAAGGAAAGATATAAAAGATATATGGAAAAGTCTAGATTTTCACATTCCTGTCAATAGATGTTTAATTTTATAAGAATGGTTTTTCATTAATAATTTAATTACAAAAATATTTAAATTATTTTGTGCAAGTAGTAAAGATTTTTTTTAATATATTCTTTTATCTTTTATCCTACAGAAAAAATAGAAAAAAAGGGGGCAGGGCAAAGACATGAGAAAGGAAGGCAAGTGTTTACAGATGCCAATTACAAGGAATGCAAATAAGGAGAGATTAGATAAAATGATTCCCTCCATCAACCACTTCCCATACTCACACACTCAAGCTTGAATTCTTTCTGTTAGAATTCATATAGGAAGTCATACAACACATGCATTTTATAGTTTTACCATGAAAACACCCAATTGAATATATGGGTAGTTCTCGACTTACATCCAATTACCCAGTGACCATCTGACATTAGAGTTATTTAAAATATGGTTTTGATATTTTGACCCTATCCCTGTGGTCATGTGATCACATTTTAGACCATGGTCACATTACCACAATTTTTTTTTTGCAGCAAACTGACGTTTACTTTCAGTTTCCAGCAAAAACAAACAAACAAACAAAAACCGCTGAGTGGGTACAATGAATTCGCTTAATGAACACTGTGATCATTGAATAACCACAACAAAAAATGTCATAAAATTAAGCTTAATGACCACCATGATTTACAAACATAATTCTGGATTCAATTACAATCATAAATTGAGGACCACCTGTATATCACTATATATTCACCATACAGGAAAATAAAAACTTGCAGTTTAAGATAATATAATAGCTATATCTTTTCTGTTATAATGTGCACAGCATAATTACTCTGATGTGAGACAAAACTGGTATAAAGTTTGTTTAAATAATCTTTCCAAAATTAAATTGCTTCAGAGTATATTTGCTAGTTTAATGATCAATTATCAATAAATACATCAAGATTGGTCATGTTTCTTAGAATTTGTTTAGCTGATCTTCTATAATCTACTTTTTACCACCTCAAGAGAAACAAGTCCAGATACATCCTCAGGAATTTTGTTGAGCTGATTTGTAGCTAAATTGAGTTCTACCATACTGGTCCATGTCCCGAAATCCAGGGGAAGTGATGTCAGCTGATTGTCCTGAAATTTAACATAACATAATAAATAAAGTTTTGGGTTTGTTTGTTTTTTTAAATTAAGGATGATAAATTGTAAATGATATTCAGTTAAAACAGATAAAGAACATAAATGTCACTATTTTCTCACAAAGAAATAATCATTACAAGGGCTTGGGGTTGTTTTTTAAAGAAACATTCACAATGCAATTTAGTCAAGGACAGGACGCATTCTACATCTTCAAAAGAGAAGGCCTGAGTAGTATCAATGTTAATTGAATGTCCTAATGATTCTGAGAAAAGAACCAGTTTAGTATAACTGTAGTCTTATCACTCATATAACTGCAAGTTGTCTATGTTAGCTTTTCTATTTTAAACCATCAACAATTTAAATTAAATATGTGCTACAACAACATTTAGCTAGATTTAACTAAGAAATAATCTAAATAGCACTTTAATGTTTAATTTATTTGTTTTAGTTTTAACCAACAGACTTTTCCAAAAGGGCAGTCTAAGCTTTGTACTTTTATGGAAAATACTCCTCTATGTTTGCAACTTCCTAATTTCAACATCGTTTATCACTACGTAAGAAAGCCTTTATACTGTTGATACTAGTTTTACAAACAATCCTAGTAAAGTTATCCTACAATATCAGGTATCCATAGTATCTGCCACAATTTTCTTTGGCTGCACTTTCATACGATATTTTACTTTACAGTAGAAAATTCATATTCCTGAAACAAAGCCTCACCTTCATGTTCAGCTTACTTAATACTTTTGCTCTAGAAAAAATTCCAAAAGGAATTTTGTTAATGCGGTTATGTTCCATATTGAGAGCGTAGATAGTAGAGAACTGTGAAGGGCCACCCACAGGGTAAGATTGAAAACAGTTCCTTGCCAGAGTTAGACTAGTCAGATTCACAAGACTGGATAAGAGACCCTGCAAGAGCAAAGTGAACAAATCAAATTATATACTTTATGTACTCTAATCTCTTTGTACTTGAATAGATATTTTTCTATGCGCAGCCTAGATATCATAGTCTGTTCAAAAAGAAATGTCTTTAAGAGTGATGCTTTCTGCTTTTGGTAATATTTTTAATAGCTGTAATGTTCGCATTTCTGACAAGTCATACCATATGTTAGCCATTTGTTAAGTATTTAAAAAGACAGCTCAATCTCTGAGAGAGTTTACCCCCTTGCAGACAGGTAAAGTTTTATAAAACAAAAATTAAGTCATTCTCCAGAAAAAAATTAAGCTTCATGTCCCATATAAAAAAGGAAGAGGTGACAGACAAACTTGCCACTCTTTCGAATTGCCATATTGTCACAGGATTCTTGTTACAATTCTATGAAAACTGAGGCTATTAGGGAAGATTTAAACCTTTAGCCAAGGAAAACATATTATCTTTGCTTGAATTTTAAAATGTATAACTATAAAGGATGCAGAGATATTAAGCATATGAAACACTAATCATTTATTTACAGTATGTCATTTTTAAGGAGAAAATATTATTCATTCTAAATGCAGGGTAGGATATCCAGCCATTCATTCCAAAACTACAGTGAAAACTTTGCATAGCTGACTTTTCAGATGAATCTTGAATGTTTCCCAAAACTAGCTCAAAGCTATACATTTTGAAATGCACTAGCATTTTAAGAATTAAAAGTTGAATGTATTATTGTTAAAAGTATCCCAATATAAACAATTTATTAATAGAATTGGACAACCACTTTTTCCAGCTAATATTTTAAGACATGTTTACTCAGAGGGCATTTCATCATTAAAAACTTAGTGTGTTTTGCAATTCTGCAGTTTTCTTTAGAAATGCATTTTCTTTCTTCTGCAGCCAAAGTGATATGTTTAATGGATTACACTACTTCGCTAATAAGTGGCTCTTTTCAGGAACAGTTATAAATTATATACAGATCAGCACTTAAAAATGCAAAATTCTATTTGTTAAGGGTGTTTTAGACTGGGAGCCCATTTATAAAGCAATCTGATTTCCAGTCAGTTTCTTTTGTATGTTTAATTACATACACTTAAGTAACTTCCATAATGTTCTTGGGACAGGAGATTAATTACTAAGCAACTTTTTCCCATTAGCAAAGTCTACAAGCAATATTTACTCATTCCCAATCAGTTTTAGTATTAATAATTTATATGACATTTGATGGATTTCAGTGCCTTATTTCTAGATCATTTCTTATTCAATGCCAATTCCAATCATTTATATCAACATTATATCACTTTGAACTGAAATATTAAACCATATTTATTTGCATTATACAGATGTGTAAGTAACTTTACAATCGTCATGTCAGATTTCTTCTTCCAGATTATTTTTTGTGGACATTGAATGCAAATAAGTAAATTCACATACTGTATTTGTACTTTCTGATTCTATGCCCATAAACTGAACAACTACCAGTTCTACTCAAAGAATCATGTTTGTAACTAAGAAACAGAAAATTATACCTAGGGTCAAGAACACAGAGCTCCTAATGCATTTGCAGAATAACCTAGTGAATTCTTGTTTTATATATAAAACACACACACACACACACACACACACACACACACACACACACACACACACATATATATATATACATATATTCTCGTCTGGACTATTGTAACGCTCTCTACATGGGGCTCCCCTTGGGGTACACCCAGAGGCTCCAACTGGTGCAGAATGCAGCCGCGTGGGGGATTATGGGAGCGACGGGGCGCTCCCATGTGACTCCTCTCCTGCGCGAGCTGCATTGGCTTCCGGTGGACTTCGGGTGCGCTTCAAGGTGTTGGTGATCACCTTTAAAGCGCTCCATGGCTTAGGGCCGGGGTACTTACGGGACCGCCTTCTGCCACCAATTGCCTCCCACCGGCCAGTTCGCTCCCACAGAGAGGGCCTGCTCAGGGTGCCGTCGGCCAGACAATGTCAGCTGGCGACCCCGAGGGGGAGAGCCTTCTCTGTGGTGGCACCTACCCTTTGGAACAATCTACCCCCAGAGATACAAGTGATCTCCGACCTCCAGACTTTTCGTCGGGCCCTAAAAACCTATTTTTTTCAGTTAGCCGGACTGTCCTGATTTTATTGTTGGTTTTAAAATTTGATATGGATTTTAATTGATAAGTTTTAAATTACGGGCCAAATTTATTTAATTATTTTAAATCTATTTAGCTTTGAAGTGAAGATGATGGGGGACATCTCCAATCTCCAGAATAAAGCTGTATCATTTGTAATAATAATATTCCATAATATTAATATTGGAGGACCAGTGTTAAATCCCAAGATGGGTATCTGTGGACCACTGGCGGCCGCAGGTTGGTAGCCCCTCTAAGGAAGGTTCGAACTCTCCGATCCAAAGACAACGGACTGTCAGGTGACTTGGACAAAACAGAGGTCAAGGCAGCTACCTGCCGTTTCAAGGTATTTGGCGCTAGGCCGCTGTCTAATCCGTCCTGAAGAAAGTCAAGTAGAGCGGGCACGGAGGCATCGGCCGGGTCTATGTTGTGTTTGCGGCACCAACGACAAAAGGCCTGCCAGGTAGCCTCGTAAATCCGTAGAGTCGAGGCCCGGCGGGAGGCTTGCATGGTGGCAATGACTCCTCCTGACAGGTTGTCCTTCCTCAGGAGGGCCCTCTCAAATGCCAGACGGCCAGTTGGAGCCACTCCGGTTCCGGGTGTAGGATGGCTCCCTGGCTGAGAGAGACCCTGTCCTGGGGAATTCTCCATGGCCGAGATATTGACAGTTCCAGTAGGTCCACATACCATGGTTGTCGTGGCCAGTGCGGGGCGACCAGAAGGACTTCCGCGGCCTCCGACAGGATTTTGCGCACTACTCTGGGAATGAGAGGTATCGGAGGGAAGGCGTACAACAGGCCCCGGGGCCATGGACATCTCAGGGCGTCCGTTCCCTCCGACCCCGGACTGGGGAATCTGGAAAAAAATCGAGGCAGCTGTGTGTTGCAGGGGCTGGCAAACAAGTCTAGTATAGGGCGACCGAACTTGGTCGACAGCATCCGGAAAAGGGCTGGATCCAAACGCCACTCCGAATGATCGATTTGAGAGCGGCTCAACCAGTCTGCCCGAGTATTGTCCGTCCCGGATATGTGTTGAGCTGAGATGGAGAGAACGGTCTCTTCCGCCCAGGAAAGAAGGGAGATCGCCTCGTCCAGCAGTGGTTTGGAATGCGTCCCACCCTCCCGATTCAGGTGTGCCTTGGCCGTGGTGTTGTCGGTCAAGACCAGCACGTGATGCCCCTGGATGTCGAGATGGAAATGTCGAAGGGCCAAGTGGATGGCTCTCAGCTCCAGCCAATTGATATCGTGTTGTAGGTCCGAGGTTGACCAAAGACCTTGGGTCATCTTGGTGTGCAGATGGGCCCCCCACCCCAGTAGACTCGCATCTGTTGTCACCGTTATCCTTTCTGGTTCCTGAAAGAAGCATCCCTTCGAAATTGCGGGGGAAGCCCACCAACGGAGGGATCAGAGGACGGGAACAGGGAGCCTGACCTTTGAAGTCGAATTGCTGCCCAGGGACCTTTGATGGGGCAGAAGGAACCATTGGAGGGGGCGAGAATGGAGACGAGCCCACGGCACTATGTTGATACATGAGATCAGCTTCCCGAGGAGTTGCGACAATTGTAGGATAGAGACTGTCCGGGAAGACTGAACCTGAGAAATTGCCGTGGCAATGCTGAGGGAACGATCCGGTGCCAGAAAGACGTGACAGGAAGCCGAATCTATGATGGCTCCCAGGTGCTGAATACGATCGGTGGGCTGAAGATGGCTCTTCTCTATATTCAGGGAGAAACCATGCCGTTGAAGAGAATCTCGAACTGCCTCCAGGTCTCTGAGGGCTCTGTGGTGAGAGTCGGAGAGGATAAGGATATCGTCCAGGTAGCAGAGGACTCTGATGGGAATGAGCCGAAGGGAAGCTGCCACAACTGCAAGGACCTTTGTGAATGTCCTGGGGGCAGACGAGAGACCGAACGGCATGGCTCTGTATTGATAGTCCTGGTTGTCGTAGGAGAAGCGCAGGAATCGCCGATGGGAGGGCCTGACCGGAATATGGAGGTAGGCCTCCTTGAGATCGATGGAAGTCATGTAGTCGGCTTGTCTGATGGCGGCCAAAATCGAATGAAGAGACTGCATCTTGAATTTGTGATAGGTGATCAATTTGTTTAACTCCTTTAAGTCTAGGATCCCCCTCCAGCCTCCGGAGTGTTTTGGAACTAGGAAAAATATTGAATAGAAACCGGTCCCACGATGTTCTGTGGGAACGGGCTCTATAGCGTGAATGTCCAAGAGGTGATGTATTTCTGAGGACATCAGACGCCTCTTTTCTGGGTTCCTGGAGACCGGGCATTGGATGAAACGATGAGGGGGACAGGAGGAGAATTCCAGAGTGAGTCCTAGACGAATGGTTTGTAGGACCCAATTGTCCGTCGTAGTTTGAGACCATTGGTTGAAGAAATGATGCAGGCGGCCACCAATAGGATAGGGTGCGGAGCAGTCATTTTCCTCTCCGGAAGGGTCGGGAGGCGCCTCCGCAAAAGGGGCGTTTGGAAGACTGTTGTCGCCTGGTGCGGTCCCGAAAGGACTGTCTGTCGGACGAACGGTCATAGGAGAAGGAGGAGGGACGATAGGTGGAAGCATTGCCGGGCCCAGGATCCGCCCGAAAGGAGGGACGCTGGGTGTATGGTAAGTAGCGTCGATCCGATCTGCGATAGGAAGAGGGCATGATTTTTCTTTTGTCCTTATCCTCTATGAGGATAGGATCGAGTGCCTCCCCGAACAACCGGGATCCCTTATATGGAGCAGAGGCCAGCTTCCATTTGGATTTTACGTCCGCACGCCAATGCCGAAGCCACAGGAGACGGCAGGAAGTAACGGTCGATGCCAGGGAACGCGACGCGAATCTGGCTGCTGCAAGAGCCGCATCCACGGAGTATTCTGTGGCTGCCACCAACTTGTTAACGTCCTGGTGGAGGCGCCGATCGTCAGGCGGGAGTTGCTCCTGAAGCTGGCGAAGCCAGATCAGGGAGGCCCGGTTGAAAAAGGAGGCCGAGGTGGCAGCGCGTATGGCCCAAGCCGCAGTCTGGTGGGCCTTGCGGAACACAAGTTCGGCTCTCCTGTCCTCAGAGCGCAGACCGTCCGCGATGTCATTGGATAACACCGCAGAGGACGTCAAGGCTGCGATGGGAGCGTCGACCGATGGGAGCTCAAGCAAATCCTGCAAAGTGGGAGCTGAGCAGAAGAGCTTTTTGTCAATGCCATTGGGGGCTGCAAGTGCCCCCGGCTGGGCCCAGGGCCGCTGGACGGTTTCAGAAAATAGTTGTGGACAAGGAATGAACTCCTGGTCGGGATGAGGGATGGCAAAAAGAGCTTCATGAGGGTTAGAGGATTTCTCAGAGTCTGGTACGGACTTGGAAGATGCCAGTTGCGTAGTGGCAATGGCTTTGCGGAGAAGAGCCTTGAAGAGGGAAGGCCGGAAGAGGCCTGTGGACGAGGGCTTCTCCGGTGGTTCGTCCTCGTCTTCCGAGAGTTCCATATCGCCCGCCTCATCACCGTCAAATTGAGATTCGTCACTGTGGTCGGACTCCTGAAGTGAGTAATCCTCAGGATCAACAGTGGGGCGATGAATTGCAGGTCTGGGAGGTTCCGGTATGTATGACAGCGAAGATCCCTGAGGATAAGGGGCCTGAGGAAAACCTCCCGCCATCATCCTAGAAACAGTGGCCGTGATCATCGCTTGAATGTCATAATAAGAGGGTGGAGGGCCTTCTGGTGGACGGAGACCTGCCGCGGTGGGCGTAAACGTAGCCTCAGGTGCCGTTACCGGATGCGAAGGCTGGTAAACTGCTGAGGAAGTTGAAGGAATTGTAGGGAGTTCAAGCTGAGAAGGGTAGATGAACCCCTGATTAGGCGGTTCGGCTCCTGTTGGTAGTCCTTGAGACGGGTCCGGATGAGGTAAGGGCTCAAGAGAAGATGATGCAAGTTCCTCCCCAGAACGACTGACAGGGGGTGTGGGAGGGGGAGCCTTGCGTTGTGCCTGTTGAAACTGGTGTTCAAGAGCCTCGTGGCGTCGTTTAACGGCCTTATCCTCAGCCGAGGAAGACTTGTGGCCTTTAGAAGAAGCTGATTTAGACTGGCGTGAAGACTTTTTTGACGCCTTTCTTGGTGCCTTCCCCGACGAGCGGTCAGAGGTCTTAGGCCGAGGTGGAGATTGGCCTTGTTCCAGGTCGGAAGAAAGGTCTGGATCCGCCATGGCAATTTTTTTTTTTTAAGGGGGGGAAGGATAAAACACACACACACCCCTTGAGAAGAGATTCTTTTTAGGGCAGGAACCAACTAGAAATGAAGACACAGACGTAGGATCCAGGTAAGTGATGAGGGAGAGGAGGCAGTAAATTAAATGCCACTTGAATGGGCCAACAAAGTTCCAGAGGGTCCAGTAATGTTGCTGAGGCCTGGTTCAGAGGAATGCTAAATGGCGGCAAACACAAAATGGCGGCCGCGCGGGAAAAAACATCCTGTAGGCCTCGTCTCCTAATTCGCGGCAAGGAGGGCCTCTCTGCAGCCGACAATGAGCCGCGGGGGTGTTAAAATGTCTCCGCGGCCGAAGGAGACGTCCAAATGCGTGCGAGCGCTAAAGAGCGCTCCAAACACCTCTTGAAGGGCCTGTAAAGGGTGGTCGGGAGCAGGCGCGGCTGGAGCGCGATGGCGGCCAACAGATCGGGCCGCAAAACAGTCTCCTGTTGTGTGCGGGCGTTAATGAGCGCTCCTAACGGCTCGTTAAGCTGGCGTGTGATGGCGGCAGAAGGATCGGGCCGTGAAGCAGTCTCCGGCTGCGTGCGGGCGCTAACGAGAACCCCTGATGCCTTTCTGTTGCCGTCCAAACCGCTTTGATCCGGCGAGGCTAGGGAGCGTGGGCGGCGGAAAAGACGGGCTGCGGCAAGGGAAGGGAGGCCTCCCGATCGCCCAGAACAAACAGCGCGCAGAGATGCCGAATGGAGGCAGAGCTCGGCGGCGAGGGCTATAAAGGGCACACAGTGGGCACGCAGGGATGCCGAGATGGGAAGCAGGGCCCTGCGGCAGATAGAGGCCCAGGAAAGGCATCTGAAGGCCAGCGCCTTCAGAACGCCGCTGCCCTTCGATGTAGGAGGTTGGCAGACGTAAAATAGTCAATTAGTACAAACTCACAGTGATGAAGGTGGAGATGTAGAAAAACAATAAACTAAAATAAAGAAATTAATAAAATGTACAGAAGAAATTGTAATGAAGGAGGAAGTCCCAAAAAGCACTCATTCAGGCTGCACTGAGTGAAAGGAACTGAGCCTCAGCCAGTCCCTAGGGGAGGAGTCAACAGTTAATTTAAAGTGACATGCACTCAGTGTTTCAGGCTACCTGAGGGATATTACCCACGCTCTTGGATTCTTCCAAGCAGCGCGCCAGAGAATAAAGCTGTATCATTTGTAATAATAATATTCCAAATACTAATTTGGAATAATATTCCAAATCTTGGTTTATAATTTGGAAGCATTTGCTGAATATTTTGGTTTATTTTAAAAAGCATTTAATATTGCCTATTTTAATGTTTTTAATGCATTTGTAGATTATCAAGAAATCTGCATGAAATTGAGGTCAACTCATGAAGAGGATTATAATGGCTACTAAATTTGAAAATTTTTGTAAATTTGATTTAGCTTCATTTAGAAACTACCTATCTTCCTAACAGAGAAATCTTAAGCAGTATAAATCTTTAGATCTCAATCATTCAGTCTGTCTTTTGGCAATGTTAAATAAATCAAAAGCTTCTTTCTTTTTCTGGCACATTCCTTTTTAATTTTCAAGATTAAACTAACATAATGAAGCCAGAATAGAATCAAGTGGTTTCTACATTTAATAAAATAAGCAAATTCTGTCCTCGAGACTTTTGCTTAGTATTATAAAATTTATGATGAAGAAATTTTTATTTTACTTTACTCAAATTGAATAATTTATTTTTATTACAGGAACTCCTACTTCTCAAGTGTCTTACCTCTGGCAAAGTAGAAATAATGTTATTTTCCAAATTTAACTCATCAAGTTTACTGCACTGTGCTAGAGTCCTGGGTATTGCTGAGAGACGATTATATCTCAGACCAAGGCTTTTCAAAGTAGATAGATTTCCTGAAAAAGAAACAAAATGTTTAAGAATCTTATGTTTAGAAACTCCTACTAGCTGTATTTATTCTTGGGAAAGGGTAAGTCCCTCTTTCTCTTTTATTACTGTTTATTGGAAAAGGCATACACTTTTCACACATATAAGCATTAGGATAATTTTCCAACGTATAAATACAACTCTAACAAATTCATCAGTATTTCAACAATATTCCATTAGTCAAGATAATTTTCCACCACTGTGCTTTGCTTTCATTTCTGGCTTCCCAGTAATACTTTAAATGCCTACTTCTAAATGCTTTGTTTCTTTTTAATCATTACTGGCTGTCATCACCACAATACTTTAGAGCAATTTACACATTTTTAGATTACAAGAAAAGTATTTCCTTATGAGAGGAGGGGCAACATTAATAGCTTTCAAAAGCAGGGAAACAAAAAAGCTTGCAAGTGAACGTCATGCCAAAAGCTAATTAATGAAAGATCTTCCGTTGTCTCCTGAAATTTTTTGCAGACACAGAAAATTGCTTCTGAGTGTATAGATATTATTTAGTGCAATAATGAGTACTGGGGAAACACTCTCAAGGTAAACTATTTTATGTACAAAAACCTTAGTTTCACTCATGTGATTCAGGTAATTAAAAACTCAAGATATTAATCAGTTTTAAAAAGTACCAATGCCAAGACACACTACCTAAAAAAACTGTAAATTCTGGAAGCACAGCTAAAAGTAAGAGAAAAAAATTAGACCTGCCAGCTCATAGCACAACTCTTAAATTTAAAATGTGTCTGCAGATAAAAGCTGCACTAAAGCACAGATCTTTCATTCGAGGTACTTTAAGAATTAGACAAAGGAATATGTATCGGTAAATTTCTCTCCTCCTCCCCCATACACAAAAAGTGGGGGTTGGAGAAAGGAAAAGCAAAGGAAAAACACACCCAGAATCTTAGCAAAAAGATGTTCATGACACATTAGACAGACCTTGCCTATTTTGACTATTGGTAGTCAACTAGATTGTCTACCAAGATTACAGATAAAAGTCTAGTACTACAAATGAACTAAACCACATATATATGTAAACAATGGAACTTCATTTTAACAGACAAATGGGAAGGAATGGTTTGTTGTTCATAAATGTACACTAAGTACATTATTGCAGCAACTTACATTTGTTAAATACAATATTCAAATGGTGTCCTTTTAATTATTTGCATAATGAAATAATTACCCAAATGCTATAACCTGGTCCATTGCATGAGAAGGTCTGCTAAATAAACATTTTGTTGTATTGTTTATGCCTGAACTAACTTATCTTACCCTTTCTGTTAACAGAATGCTGCACAGAGTATGGGTAGTAAATTAAAATTAAAAATTAAAGCTAGTATAGAAGGTTTTCCTTATTTTACTAACTCTGAATGATTCAATTCACCAAATAATGATGGCAACAGTGATCAATATATATGGGCCCATAAATATATGGAAAACTTATTTAGAATGTAAGAGAAGTAAATGCTAAAATGAATGAATTCATGCATACGTGATTGATTGAATGAATTGAATTAATCTGTATTGAAAGAAATGCAGTTATGTCTTAGCTTGAGAATTTTAAAAAAGGATATAACCAACAATGTTCAGATCTAGTGGACAGATCTAGTGGACTGATGAAAAAATTCATAGGAAAATATAAGAGTGATATTAATTTCTGAATGAAGGATAGATTCAGACACAGAAAAGTGAAAGAAATGAGTGAAAAAGAACAGACACGAGATTAGATAACTCCATGTAAAAAAAACAACTGTGCAAAAGTATGATGAAAGACATTCTATGCTATGTATACAGAAAAAAAGATAACTGCAAAGAATGTAGTCAAAGAACAAGGAACAATTTTAAAAGACGCAACAATACTGAGAAAGTTTGATGGGAGTTTTAAAAGTTTCAGAAATGGAGGAAAACAGCCAAATGAGAAGGCGCCAATAGAATGAATGGAATGACAAATAAAAATTATGAGATGACTTAGGGTTAACTGATAGAAGGTAATGCTGGAAAGAGTATTGTAAAGGTTTGCATAAAAGGATGATTTGCAGAATGGAATCAAAATAAATGAAATCAAAGTTACTGTCCTTTACAAAAAGAAAGTTAGAAATGCTGCTAAACCCCTGAAAAATACTAAAGTTGCAGCTATAAATGGGCTACCTGGCAAAATGTTAAAATATAAATGTGGTTTGTTTATAGTGGTTGTGATGCTTGTTTAACATGATTATAAAGCCTTCTCCTATGCCCGAAATGGGAAGAATATAGTTATTGTTCTCTTATTCAAAGAAAAAAATAACAGAATAGAAAACTTAGATGAATTAGTCTTGTATAGTATATCACAGAAGTGAGTACACCCCCTCACATTTTGTAAATATTTAAGTATATCTTTTCATGTGACAACACTGAAGAAATGACACTTGACTACAATGTAAAGTAGTGAGTATACAGCTTGTATAACAGTGTAAATGTGCTATCCCCTCAAAATAACGCAACGCACAGCCATTAATGTCTAAATTGCTGGCAACAAAAGTGAGTACACCCCTAAATGATAATGTCCAAATGGGGCCCAAGTAGCTGTTTTCCCTCCTTGGTGTCATGTGATGCGTTAGTGTTACAAGGTCTCAGGTGTGAAGGGGGAGTAGGTGTGTTAAATTTGGTGTTATCGCTCTCACTCGCTCATACTGGTCACTGAAAGTTCAACATGGCACCTCATGGCAATGAACTCTCTGAGGATCTGAAAAAACAAATTGTTGCTCTACATAAAGATGGCCTAGGCTATAAGAAGATTGCCAAGACCCTGAAACTGAGCTGCAGCATGGTGGCCAAGACCATACAGTGGTTTAACAGGACAGGTTCCACACAGAACAGGCCTCGCCATGGTTGACCAAAGAAGTTGAGTGCCCATGCTCAGCGACATATCCAGAGGTTGGCTTTGGGAAATAAAATGTATGAGTGCTGCCAGCATTGCTGCAGAGGTTGAAGTGGTGGGGGGATCAGCCTGTCAGTGCTCAGACCATACGCCGCATGCTGCATCAAATTGGTCTGCAGGGCTGTCGTCCCAGAAGGGTCATTGGTTTTATCTGATATGCTCCTTTTCATTGGGTGGAGATAGCATCCAGGAATGGGGTGACCTTGTCTGCTTAGCTGATTGGACCAAGTCTGTTAGAGCTCTTAGCCCTGTTGCTAGGGCTCCCCAGCTTTTGGCAAAGACAAAGTGACAGACTTGATGTGTCTTGCTCAAAGATCCTTCTCTTCACGGACCAAGGATCAGACGGTCTTCAGGGTGGGGCTGGATGCTATCTCCACGAGAAGGAAGGTTATCATGTAAGACCAACATCTCTTCTCCATAGTGGTGGAGATATTATCCAGGAATAGAATAGAATAAAACTTTATTACGGTCATCAACCAGCAGTAGACATACAATAAATTAAAAATAATACTGACATTAATCATGAATAACAACATCCCTGTTATGAAAATACATGATCTCAAACCATTAAGGTCATTCCCTAATTTACATGAGTGAAGAGCCGATAAGTATGTAAGTAAATGTATTTTTCCAAAAATTGTTATAGATATCTCCAAAAAATTGGCACCAGTTGACATCTATAATTCTGTAACAATTTTTTATTTGATTTGATTTATATGCCGCCCTTCTCCGGAGACTCAGGGCGGCTTACAATGCGTTAAGCAATAGCGTTCATACTTTTTACAAAGTCAGCTTATTGCCCCCACAAACTGGGTCCTCAATTTACCTACCTTAGAAAGGATGGAAGGCTGAGTCAACCTTGAGCCTGGCAAGATTCGAACTTACTAATTGCAGACAGCTGGAGTTAAATTACAATGCATTAGTCTGCTGAGCTATCTGGGCTCCTGAGCTATCCAGGCTCCTGTCCTTTTCTTGTGGACATTGCAGCAACACAGAATTTTGCCACTGCACGCGTGGTGGATAGCATCCAGGAATGGGACATACCAAAGCTGTCTTGAACTGGCAACCCTTGGTGATGGCCGGGGACATCCGCTAGGGACCGGATTACCTCCATCAGGACTCGGACCTTGGCCTGTGACCTGCTCTTGCCTGACCTCTGAAAAGGTAAAAGAAACCATTGTAGATCTCTGGTGTGCAGGTGTGCCCATGGGATGATGGAAATAGTGGACATCATTTTTCCCAGGAGCTGTGAGAACAGGACCAAAGGTACCATTCTTTCTCTCTTGACTCGACCTGCCAGGTCCCCAAGACTGGTCTACCACTCCTGCGACAAGTAGACCCTGCACGCCATACTATCTATAATTGCTCCCAGATGGAGCAGGTAGGCAGAAAGTGGCTGTTCTCTATATTTATGGACCCATGGTGTTGCAGTACCTGGATAGTGATCTGTAGGTTCTCCTGTGCCTGGAAGCTAGATGAGGACTGTATCAGGATATTGGCCAGGTAACACTGGACACGCACGGGCAGGGCCCGAAGATGAGCCACCAATGCAGCTAGTAATTTTGTGAACGTCCTTGGTGCTGATGAAAGGCCTAATGGTAGGGCCCTATACTGGTAATGGTGACCCACATACTGAAATCGGAGGTATTGCCAGTGTAGTGGCAAAATGGGCACATATAGATAGGCGTCGGTTAAATCAAGTGACTGCATCTTGAACCACTGGTATATAAGATGGCAGTTCAGACTGTGATCCCCAAGGGCGAAGCTCTGGCTGTCAATGGCATCGTTATTGGAGTGCAATAGCTCCTAATTTGGAGTCCGCAATGTTTAACTTCACAAAATGGAGCACAAAGCTCCTCGACGAGCTCTCTTGCTGACAGCCTTGCAATCAAACACTGAGGAGCGCGAAAGCTCCTATGCCTCTCAGTTATCAGGAGCGCGAAAGCTTCTCCGTCCAGAAATCTGACAGGTTGGGAACGCGAATCTCTGCTGGCTTTGCTGTCAATTTTTTGGGAGCTCAAAAGCTCCTCTATCCAGAAAACTGACAGG